AGAGAAAGGGTGTTGCTGCCTCCCATCAATAGCAACTGTATAGATGTGAGGAGAATCAGGGGCAAGTCAAGCCTCTGCCCCTCCTTTTCCTGCTACCGCCTGACCAGCAGTCACAGTTGCTTTATGGTGCCTGTGTTAATCTCACTAAAACTAAAAGACGGGAGGTTATTGCTAGAGTTTTCTGAGAGCCAAACCCACAAATTTAGGCTCGGGTTGTAATACATTCAAGCAATATCCAAGGCAGAAGGCCATGGCTAAAGAAGCCTAAGACATAAACTATCCTTCCTCATTTTACTTACAAAGAAACTGAATTCCAGCATTTCCCCAGGTCACAGCTGTGGCTTATCTGAGGTATGAACTTTGCCTGGGGCACCCAGGGCAGGGTGCTTGGCGTGGAGGCATTTCTAAGAGGATCTTAAGCTCACCCATTCTCAAAACAGAGGGATATAATCTAAAACTTACAATGTGTCAGTTCATGTCCTGTGCTTTCCCAGTTTTTCAAAGTGACCCGAGAGAAAGTCATTCAAACTCAGCTTTGGCTTTTTATAAAACAGGAATAACATGGTTTTGTGTATCCATAGTAATTTTGAAAAAATACTTCAGCATAGAAGTTGTGTTCTATATAATTGCAAAGTGAATCTTATATCTGGTCCAGTGCAGGATAGTTATAAAGTATCCCATACTTGTTTGCTGGTTAAATAATGACCCTCTGCAAATAACATGGAAAATCATATCCACAGTCCTCCACTATGCAATACAAAAATGTGTTTTCTTTTCCCATTGTACTGTGGAGATTTCTTTGGTTTGGCTTGCCTGGTGTCCAACAGTCCTGTCCATTCATATGTTTTATTGTTGAAAGTTCTGTTCATAGCAAAGCGTTTTTCATGAGTAAAGTTTTGCTGTGTCCTCAGAATTCTCTGCAAATCATAACTGTTTTCTTTTAAAGATTTATTTATAATGCACACAGAACTGGGGTACAGGCCAGAGGTGCAGGGGTGGTGAGAGGATGCACCAGAGACAAAGTGGGGAGCAGAACAGGCAGATCGACGAAGTACACTGCTGAGGGGAGCAGCAGGCGGGTCGGGAGAGGTCTGCTGCGCTACGAGGGTCACCTCCGTCTCACCGAAGCGTCTGTGCTAGCTTGCAGTGCGGGGTTCTAACCCGTTACACCACCAAGGAGGACCCCACAACTAATTTCATAGCAAAATTAAAAATAGATTTCTAGATTGTTAGTGGACTCTGCAGAACTATTTTGTATCTGCTGAGGCATCGTGTAGGTCTGGGTTAGTTAAGTCAAAGTACAGGCAGGAAAGAAGAGATTTTAAGTAGGAGCCAGGGGCTCAGGGAGTTCTTGTTCCTCCTGGCTCCTGCTGAGCACCTGCCTTTCTCTTGTTAGCTGCTTGTCAGTCTTGACACTCAATGCCGCTGATTCTCCTCACATCTATACAGTTGCTATTGATGGGAGGCAGCAACACCCTTTCTCTAAAATGGAATTTTGACAGTCATCCTCAAAGCCTGAATCTTCCCACCTTCAAATCTAGTTTTCAAATCTGCCTTTTATTTCTGTGGAGAGAGCTGTCTGAGCGGTTCCCCTAAAACTGGATGATTCCTTTGGCGGGGGGTGCTGAACAGTACCGTGGACACTAGGGGGCAGCATCGCATCGTGATTGCTAAACGAAATCGCTAGTCAACCTGCCAGAGGCTGCCCCTTGCTAGCCAGGTGAACCTAAGCTTACTCAGGTTCTCTGCAAATTAGAGTAATAATATCACCTTCTCGGTGATCTTAACAAATTTTAAGAGAAATGATCTAGAAGAACCAGTCGGTCTACTCTCGTTTAATGCTTAATACACGTAGACTTATTATTGTCACTCATTATTGTGGATAACTCCAAAATGTTTAAAAATGTCTTTTGTGACAAAAGGGAAAAACTTTCTTATCCTTAAAGAAATAACATTGTCTACTGGTTAGACTATATTTCAGTGGAATAATTTAATATTCCACTCATTATTAAAAATCTATTTATAATCAGCCAGGATTCCTCACACAGAAAATTATTTTGAAAAGAAAAAAATCACCCGAGTTCCAGATGTGTGAAAAGGACTACAAGAACCTGAAGAGACACAGCTCCACCTTTGGAAAATGACCGCCCAAGAAATTCCAAGCCACCATACCTAGGTCCTGTGATCGGGAAGGTCCTACAGATACCACAGCACACAGGGTGAGTGGCCATTTCCGTGGCAGATAATCTGTAGCAGGTCGGGAGCCACAGAAGGATGGGAGGCTCAGTCTGTAACCAAGAGAGGAATTTTTCTTCTTTGATGGCTGGGCTCAATACCTGTAAAACGGTGACACTCTGAGACGTGCTTCTTGTCAATACTTTTGTCTCTAGTATACATTAGGATGCACTTTCTTTCCTGGCTCTGTTTTTTGGCAGTTCTGCCAGAGAACTTTTTTTTTTTTTTTTAAGATTTATTTATTTATTCGTACAGAACTGGGGTACAGGCCAGAGATGCAGAGGGTGAGAGGATTCACCAGAGACAGAACGGGGAGCAGAACAGGCAGATTGAAGAAGTACACTGCTGAGGGGAGCAGCGGGCGGGTCAGGAGAGGTCTGGCTCGCTATGTGTGTCACCTCCGGGGCAGGCGGGGATCGAACTCATGTGGAAGTGGTTTAAGTTTCTTTGTGCTGTGCTTTAACCCGCTGCACCACCAGAGAGGGCCCTGCTAGAGAACTTTTATCACATGTAAAGGCAAGTCTACCTGCAGCACTCTGTGGAGTCAAAGGTCTGTAATTTAAATCAGTCAGCAACTGGCCTACCCCCATGTCTCAGCACTCACCCCTTGGAAACAGCTGCGGATAGCGCTTTCCACAGAGCAGGAAGCCCGACTCTCCCCCACCACAGTCGGGATCTGCAAGAGTCCAGACATCAGCTGTTAGGAAAACAGAGAAGTAGGTGGCCATGGAGCTAGTGTCCCTGAGTGATGGTGATTTACAGTTGGGGGGTCATGAGTATGTGGGGTCTGAGGGTAGATCAACTCAGTGGATGAATCCAAGCAAAGAAATGTGTGGGTTTGGCACCATGGTTGAGTAGGCACGACAGATGAGCAAGTTGAAGAAGTGGGAGGGAATGGGTGAGAGGAAAATCTGGTAATTGAGTCAAAACAGGAATAACTACATTGTTCATTTTTTTTTTTTGAAGATTTATTTATTTGTGCATACAGACCTGGGGTACAGGCCAGAGGCGCAGGGACAGTGAGAGGATTCATGTGAGACAGAGCGGGGAGCAGAACAGGCCGACTGACGAAGAACACTGCTGAGGGGAGCAGCAGGCGGGTCAGGAGAGATCTGCTGTGCCATGTGGTCACCTCCGGGGCAGGCGGGGATTGAATTCATGCTGAACTGGCTTTGGCTTCTTAGTGCTGTGCTTTAACCCGCTGCACCACCAGGGAGGTCCCTGTTCACGAGAACTGGGTACAAGCCAGAGGTGCAGAGATGGTGAGAGGATTCACTAGAGACAGAGTGGGGAGCAGAACAAGCAGATGGATGAAGTACACTGCTGAGAGGAGCAGCGGGCGGGTCAGGAGAGGTCTGCTGTACCATGTGGGTCAGCTCCCTGATGGGAATTGAGCAGTGGCTATGAATCGCTTGATAGTGCCTTGCCCCAACCTGTTGCGCCACCAGAGAGGGTCCCATTGTTCACTTTTGATGATCCATTCAAGTGATTTTCACCTTTCTTTGCTTTCATTTACCTGAGTTATATATAACAACAACATGGTGGTAAACTTTAGAATATTTTTAAGGAAAACCTCGCAAGCAGGTCATATAATCTCAGTTTAACAATGTCAATTTCTGAGGCAGGGCAGTCATTACCTTTGATTAAAGTAAAGAGTGATTGAGATTTGATATTTTGCTCAAGGTAAAAAGAAAAAGTGATATGGAAACGACTTATGTGCCCACTGATGGATGAAAAGATTTAGAAAATAGGGCAGAGGTAACAATGAATACTACTCAGCAATAAAAAATGAGTAAGTCTTGCCACTAGTGACAGCGTGGTTGGATTGTGAAGAGATTATGCGAGGTAAAATCAGAAGGAGGAAGACAAATGCCGTATGATTTAAGTCACGCAGGAGACAAGAAGCTAAGCAAAAGCACCCATAAAACAAAGAAAAACAACAGATTAGAAATTACTGGTAGGGAAGAAGGCTGGGGATAGGGAAGACTAAGTCAGATAAGGGGGTCGGCTGTGCGGTGATTGTGATATAGCAAATACAAGTCTCAAAATATGACTCTGTACACCTGAAACTTATGTAATGTGTTATAAGCCAATGTTACCTCAGTAAACATTTATTTTTAAAAACACTCATTAGTTGAGATATCACTTTAAAGCTCCTATTCTGTTGAGGCTGTTCACAAAGTCTTGTCACTCCCTAACCTTCCATCTAGTCTAATGACTCAATCTGCACTTTACTTGTGATTTCCAGCCACAGTCACCATATGGAGTTTAACTAAAGGGACCTGGCTCTGACATTATCTTTATGCACAGATCCATGTACCTGTCACCTCCATTTACGCCCATGCGGTGGGGGGTCCCTGTTCACGTCAGATGTGGTGTAAGCAGGGGCCTTCATGCCCCTGCCTGCAAGCACAGAAGTAATTTCAAAGCTTCCCCCTGCTGAGTCCATCAACTCGAATAAACATTCTTCTAATCAGGAAAGTGGCACTTAGAACCACTTTGCTGACAATTAGCCAGGCAGAAGTCAACAAACATTTGCGTAATAGTAGATGGCATGTGCTTTAAATGGATAATAACCCTGTTACCAGCTGAATGTAAGTAACTGTTTCCTACATTGTTTGGCCCTTGTCTGAAAAAACAACTCATTACCCTTACTCTGGCCTGTGAGTGCTGATACACTAACTGGACTTCTCAGATGGTGTCCTTGAGCCCTAGAAAAGGGGTTTATCCTCACTTGCAAAATAAGGAAAGTGGCTCAGATGGGACTGAGTTGCCAGCTCTTATTCTGACAGTAGTGGAAAGAAAATTCACTCTGTAGTAGGTTTTAGCCTACATTTTTAGCTTTAAGTGTGAGCATAAAGATTTTGTGGATTAATTGCCCATTTGACTAATTTCTTGCAGGTGTTCTATGGAAGCAGGCCCATGAGTAGATTGCATGCTGGTACCGGCGGAGCACCACTTGAAATGATAATTAGGATCTGGGGAGGAGGAGTTGGAATCGCACAGTGGGGCCTAGAATTTCTATGGGAATCCATCGCTGAGGTCTTAATGGAAGGTAATGGGATGGTAATTTGCTATGCAAATCTCAACCTTCCCAGCAGCTTCCCAGGAACATACTAATGAGGTGGGGTGGGGGGATGCAGGAGAGGGAGGCAGCTCTGGGTGCAGAACTTTGGCCACCGTTGACCTCAGTTTCACCTGGCACAAAGGCCCTGGCACAAAGGCATGGGTTTAGGGCCTGTTGGCTGGGTGCGGGCTGGGGGCCAGTTGTAGCAGTCAAGAAGTGAGCACAAGCTGCTCTACAGAAGGAAAATGCCCTTCACCTCACCTCCTTTTGTTCATCTGCCTTCTAAACACACTATCCTACAAGTCTGAGCACCCAAATGGGTGGGCAGCTTCTCCCACGCTCCCCAGCCCTGCACTGAGGCTTGAGATGCAGAGACTATGGGGAAACGGCTGAGAGTCAGAGAAGACTGGGAGCAGGACCCGTTCCGGGTCCTGTTAAAAACCACCTAGCTGAGTCTTGAAAGACAATTTAAAATTGTCACTCCACCTACAAAGTAGGTGTTTGGAATTTCCAGAATACATTCAATGTTAATAGTTGTAACTATATAAACATAAATATCAAGAGTAAAAGAAGGGTAAGTTACTCCTTGTTCTAGAGTTCTATCATGTTCCCCTTACTCCATCTTCTCTTCTCCCTCCCATCTTGACTATCTCCAGTTCAGGTCCTTGGTCCTTAAGGATATGGGAATATGGCACCCCATATTATGTCTCTTTAGTATATGGAGTACTTTGATGTGGGTCTGCTAATCTTAAGTGGCCTATCCAGCCTCCATTTTGTCACCTACAGTTCTGTATTCTAAAGCAAGGTCAGAACTGCCTGGTCCTAGGAGACCAACCCTACAAGGTGACTTGCAAATCAATTAAGAGCAGTATCGCCACATCACTCTGGGCAGGGTGTGCATCCCGAGGTATGACCGGGAACGCCTGGGGCTGGGGTATGTGTGGGGGGGTGTTGACTGATATATAATGAAGGACTCCAGAAGCTGGTCAGTGGAATGCCTATTGATAAGACTGAAATCCTGACTGCGAAGTCAGCCAAACCATCAGCAGATGAGAATACAGTTCCATGCTTGTCCTCTTCCTTCTACTCCCTCCCCTTTTCTACTTCCCCATATGACTAATGCTGTTTGTCAAAAAAAAAAAGGCCAGGATCTTGCTCTGGAACGACACCCTGCATTATGCACCTGCTCCACGACACCTGCTTCTTTATCAGTGTGGTGTTGCTGGACTCAACACTTTGAGATAAAGGCCACTGAGAAACAGCAGGTGCAGGAAAGGCTCTATAAATGGAATACATTTTCCTTTTGTAAAGGAAGTTTCCATTTGTCAAAGGTGTCTCATCTCTACCAGAAGAGGAGGACTCTTAACTCTTATCAGGAGTTCGAACCTTGGCCAGGGAGCCGAACCAAATGGCGTGGCAGGGCCTCTCCTGTCTCCCCCACTGCTCCCCTCAGCAGTGTATTTCAGTCAATCTGCCTGTTCTGCTCCCCACTCTGTCTCTGGTGAATCCTCTCCCCTACCGCATAAGTAAATGCATCTTCAATTTTTTTTTTTTCTGAAGAGCCTCTGTTCTCCAGTCTTCTGACCACCTATCATCGCTTGCCTCCCTGCACCTGGAAGCCCCAGGCATCTTCTTTCTGGTGGGTGAGCCAGAGTCCTAGCCATCCCATTGTGATGCTCTTCTCAGGCGCACACCTTAATAAACTCTTGTTTGTCTTTCGCTTGTTAACCTGTCTTACCAGTCTAGTTTACAGGGCCCCAGGCCAAGAATATAAGATGGCAGAGGAAAAAGATTTTTTTTTCTTTCCTTCTAGTCTAGCTCCAGAAGAAAAATCACAGTAATCACTATGACTTTACAGTTCAGGAAACCTAGATTGGGGATTTATAGAGGGAGAGATGGGATCCTTGGCCTAGGGGGTGAAGCTGAGTGAGACAGCAGCCACTCACTGCACAGCTGGAGACTGCCAGGTCCACACAGAAGTTCCTCTTTGGTTCCATCATTTTAAGTCACATTAACATATAAAAAACCTTTACTTAGGGGCCCTCCCTGGTGGTGTAACAGGTAGACCGCAGTACTGCAAGCTAGCCACAGCCACTTCAGTGTGAGTTTGATCCCCACCCAGGAGGTAACCCACGTGGCGCAGCAGACCTCTCCTGACCTGCCTGCTGCTCCCCTCAGCAGTGTACTTCGTCGATCTGCCTGTTCTGCTCCCCACTCTGTCTCTGGTGAATCCTCTCACTGCCCCTGCACCTTGGGCCTGTACCCCAGTTCTGTATGCATAAATAAGTAAATCTTTTAAAAAAAAAACACTTTTACTTAAAGGAGGTTTAATTCCTAGTAAGGGTAATGATGTCAAATTTGCACATTCTTGAAGTTCAGTAAATGGTGGAAACCTCAACTATTCAGCATTTCATTTCATCTGTGCTTTCTTTAGGCATCTGTTGAAAGCCTATTTTCTAGTACTTTCCATGGTCTCGGAAGGGAAGCTGTCTGCGGTGGGGGCATGTGCCCAGTGGTTGCAGCAATGAAATCAGACAGGTATTGCGACAGAGTTGTACATGAGGCGTTAGAGAAGCTTAGTGACAATGTGACTGAATTTTGGAGGATCTTGACTATGACCAGTGTCAGGTGAGAGTAGGCAATGGTGCTGCAGACAGGCAACGTGGGTTGGAGAACCTGGTGAGTGTCTGTCAGGCCTGGTCAATGTTTGGTAAGCAGGGACAGAAAGGATGGAGGGAGTATAAGGAAAACAGAATAAGCAGAAGTCACTAGGGAGCATTACAAAGGGGATCATCTGAACTGATGATCTGTCTTTGGACTATTTACAACTCCTTGGAGATTGAAATTAATGTCTAGAAAAGGACAAAAATACAAATAACTCTAAATCAAATCTACAGGCAAGTGAATAAGTCGTGTCCCGGAGGAGGGATAACTCTCCTCTTCCCCTAAAAGTCAGTCTTACATCCACCTGCAAATTTATAATAATAATATTCCTAATCTGTCAGCTTATTCTTTGGTTACTTTTTTTCAACTAGTTGTAGTAACTTAGTGTGCCCTCTTTGTTTTTTGAAAGGATTTATTTTATTTACTTATACATACAAGAGCTGGGTATGTATAGGCCAGAGGTGTGGGGTTGTGTATGTGAGAGGATTCACCAGAGACAGAGTGGGGAGCAGTACAGGTGGGTTGATACACTGCTGAGAGAAGTGGTGGGCAAGACAGGAGAGGTCTGCTGTGCCATGTAGGTCAGCTCCCTGGCCAGGGATTGAACTGGTGCTGCAGTGGCTACTGACAGCTTCATAGCGCTGAGAGGTAGACCCTTGTGCCACCAAGGAGTACTGGAGTCTGCTTTTCATTAATAAATAAATGTATATGTTCTGCCAAAGTGATCACCAAAGAAATATCCATTTTATGTCAGTATGAAGTTTTATGTAACATTACTTCCTTTTGAAAGATGGGGTCAACCCATGAGGCCTTTATTTATGATGTTAAGGCATGTAGACTTTGCAGTATAGACATAAATGACCAATGAAGAAAGTAAGCAGATGGAAGACACTGGGTTTACAAAAAGTCAATGGGCTGCTGTGTGGGAGCGAGAAGAGATTGAGTTGGTGAAACCAGCGAGGAAGCAGTACAATGAGCCAGACGTCCACTTAGACACCAGTAGAGGCTTGAGAAGAGCAGGGTTGCCCAGAGAACTAGTTAGTAAGTTTAGGCTTCTTGAGTATGGGGGAATTTACCTGTTGCAGATCTGTTAGGAGGCTTCTCAAAGCCCTTCGGGTCATACGGGCTCCAGAATCATAACCTCCCCTGTTATTTTCTGCATAGAGCTGAAAAAGAGCTAGACATACAGGAATCTCTCAATGGCATACATGCAATATCTCCTGAAGAGTAAGTAGGTGCCTTGAATTCTGAATGGGTTACTAGTGCATATGAAGGGAAAAGGGGTGAACATTACATTTCATGATTACTGACTTGCTAGTTTGAAGTCTTCATTTGACCACATATGAAAACCCACTCACATTTCCATCTCTTGATAACTCAGGACATGAGTGATGAGATGGTGAGGTTGATAAAGGGTGTTAAGAGCTAAGTCCCAATCTTAGTGGAATAATGACTATTGGTATCTGAATTACCTCTGAACAAATAATGATGAAGGACAACCAATTCTAAGTATTTTAGAAGGAATGTGTCATTTCCTTGAAAAGTCCAAGGTCATGCTAAGCATGTGCTGAAGAACTGGAGTCGTGGTGGAGAGATGGGGGAGCAGGGGGGTGAAGAAGATGACATGCAGGAGACGTGGAGGCGGCTACATTGCAGACGTTCGAAACACCAGACATTACCTCTGTACTTAGTGAGAGGGCAGTCGCTCGCGAGGGCTGTTAGGGCTGCGGCTGCAGGCACCCGCTTGAGAAAACCTGTTCCTGTGCTGAGTGGACCAAACAGAGGCAAGCACAGGGCAAGCAGGGTTATTCCTGGACATGCTGTTAGTCAAAACCATTGCTACTAATGGATGTTGCTGGCATAGTGTTACAGGTTCTAGTTTTCTCAGGTTTGTTTTCCTGTATCTAGAATTTGACAGGGCTAAGAATTGAATAAAAACACTGGATCAATCATTCCATTGTTCATTCATTCACATGTTAGGGATATTTATCGGGTGCCTCCTCTATGTTAGGGATTGAGTCAGGTCCTGGGGTTATAGCTGTCCACAGCTGTACTTTCACTTCCCCGTGACTCAGATGCCTGGTGATCAAACAACAGAGACAAAGACCCAAAAGCCAGTCACAGGAGCCACATATGCTTATATGAGAACATCCCCAGCTCACAGACGCTGGCTCAGAGCCGACCCATCCTTGGCCCACTCACTGACTGTGCTTTCTCCAAACCCACAGACCAGTGTGCCCAAACAGGATTGTCAGAGGCAGGTGCTGATGTTATCTCAGCCATGACAGAAAGACCTTGACCAGCTACTTAAGGAGACTAAAATCATGGAAAAATAACTCGAGAAATGTTTATCATCTATGCAATAAAAATAAATAACAAGCTAAAAATGAAAATGCTGAAAGGCTTTTGCTAGAAACTATTTGCCCGTGGGGGTAAGCTTTTGGGATGATACTTCTTTTCCTTTGATCTTTGCATTTTCCAAATGCTTTCTACTCATGGTGGCTATTTTTTCCTGGTGTACTCCCAATTTTATTAAACCTTAACTTATTAAGTATGCAATGTCTAGTTCAAGGATGAAATGAAAATATCTGAAGCAACACAGGAAAAGCATTATTTTTCAAAACAATGTGAAACGTTTTCTATACTGACTGGTCCTTGAAGCTTTGTTCTCCAAGTGGGATGGGAAATGTGTCCATATTCCTCTGGACTCTTTGATGTAGACAAGGGAGATCTAGCAGAATCTGGAAGGGCAGATGTTAGTCACCCTTAGTGCAAAGGACAGTGTCTGAATATACCTCTGAGCTGCTTTGGGACGTCCATGCAGATGGCGACCTGGCAGGTAAACTAGAACTTCAGATCTGGGCAGTGGGTTTGACAAGTGGATTTGGGTTGCGACCAGGGCACCTATAATGCTGAAAGTCTCTGCAACCATGAAAACAGGAATTAAGACACGTAGAGTAAAAAGGATGTGGGTGGCTCCTAAGTAATTAAAACATATAAGAAGGACCCCGCAGCCTCAAAATACCACTACTACACAGCATTGATTTTAGGGATAATTAATAGGATTTCTACTTTTCAACTTAGGGGGAAAAGTCAGCTGCTAAACATTTCACTTTCACACTGTACAGTCAGTGTCACAGGTAGTTGTACAGGCCTTTCAAATAAATGGAGGGGGTGGCAATATATATCCCGAGAAAAGCTAACATAAATAAAACGTTTTAATTAAACTACAAAAAAAATGAAGCCATTTTGTTCATTAGGACTTTTCAGAATCCACTGGAAAGGATCAGACCTTGTGGATCAAGAACACATATGGTCAACCACTGAAGTGGGGTAGAGGAGTGGCAGACACCAGAGCTCAGTGAAAAACACAAGCACACACATGCACACAGAACACCAGTGACTGGAGCACACACAGCCAGGCCTTGAAGTGGTCTAAACTTGTTATAGGTGCAATGAGCTAACCACTTATTTATACCATATAGATATGACATATGTGGGGTAAATACATAAAATGTATATAAAATATATATAAATCCAAATACCCAACACATGGGAATTTGGACATGGATCTTTGGAAGGTGATTATGTAGATCCAGATGGGGTCCTCATAAACTGGATCGGTGCCCTATAAATTGGTCGCTCCAGAGAGCGATGCTGTCTCTGCCCTGTGAGGACACAGCAAGTAGAGTGTCCTCCAGGAATCCTGAAGCCAGACCTCTCCAGACACCATGTCTGTACCTTGCCCTCGAACTCCCCCTTGGACTTTCAGCCTCCAGAATTGTGAGAAATAAATGCTGTTTAAGCCCAGATGGACTTAGACACCGCTAAGTCACCCATGCACAGGGTATTCAATTTCACTCCACCTGAGGAGCAAAACAAAGCAAAAACTTAAATGTTGGTGATAAAGGAACAAAGAAATAAGCATCTGGGGACTCAAGAAAGGTGTAACCTTGTCATTTGTATAGGTATATAATCACCTGAACAAAAGATGTGCATGGTTCTGTAGCGTGAAAACGAACGGGTATGAGCGAAAGGCAAATGTGGATTTTTCCCCTTCCACCATCTGTCAATCTCTCTGTAAGGTGGCTGGTATGTACTTCTGCCTTCCCTTCTTGAAAGAGTAGTGTATTTGTCGAAAACAAAAAAAGCCTTCTTACATTTGAGATCGTAAGCAAATATCAGACAACACCAAAGTCAATGGCCAGCAGCAACGAAACCCTGCCTTGGAAGCCATGACGTCCCCACACCTCACCTGTCGTACAGGGCCATGAGAAGGCTCAAGGTGAGGTCCGACGCTCTGGGATGCACCTGTCCTGGCCTTTCCAGCCTGGCTTGTCTAAACAGCTCCTGAAGTGCCTGGGAGAGCTGCTGTACTGAGAGGCAGCCTGCTTTCACTTCCCAGAGACTTTGATCAAGCAGGAAGCGTTGGATGAGAGAACTGTCAATCAAGTCCACTGTGGGAACAGGTGAAGATTGAGTCTTATATTCCAGGGGAACAAAAGACTTCCAATCAAGCAAATGTCATCTAGTGCTTAATGAAGTCTGTCCTCTGATGGCACAACTTTCTTTCAAGGGTACGAGACAGGGGCACTATTTGGACACGTATCTCAAACATAACTCAGGCATTACTGTTCTGATAGTCATTTTGACGTGGAAAAAGCATTATCTGTTCATAAAGCACATTTGAAACTTTATTCCCACTATTATTCTAGATTGTTGCTTTATGAAATGAAGTGGAAAGGGAAGGAAGTGAAACACTAGAAAAATAGCCTTCTGATGAAGTTAGGTCACGGTGATACAAAGTTGGAGGAAACATTTTTATATTCTTTAAGTGGATTGAGCAAATGTAACTTTCATGTTCAAATATAGTTTTTCCTCTCTGCAGGAAAACAATTTTTCTGCTAAAATGTAATGGCCTTTGTTAAAAACCCAATAATCTTTATGAAAGGGAAGTTAGTGAATCTTCAGACGCCACCCTTGCCTCAATAATATTTCTTTTTCGAACTTGTTTCCATCAGTTTATGTCTAGGGAAAACACTTAATAAGACCAAAGTCGTTTACAAAAAAAAAAATGGTTTGTTTCTTATATATTTATGTTTCCTATCTCTTAAAAAATTTTACAAGGCAGTGAATATAAGGGCGAATAAAATAGAACTAACACTATGGTTTCCTGCAGACAGAAGATGGCAGACAAAATTAATAAACACCCACTTGTTCCATTTGAAAGGCGGGGATGTCAGTGGCATCGAGAGCTGCTGGCCTGTGAAAGGCTTCAGCCAGTGAAATGATAAAACCCTGCACTTTTCTCCACTTCATAAATCAACCTCACAGATAAGAAATCTAGCAAGTATAATAAAAATTTTTATTTGTTCTCTGATACTGTTTTTCAGGGGGAGATTCTAAAGAAGTGAGCAGTAGGTTTTGGGATATGTGTTTAATAAAAACCTGGCTGCAGGTGGTGGAGGCTGAAAACTCTTTTATCATTAATCAATCGCAAAACCTATCACCGCAGCCTGGAAAGCTGTACACGAGACGCTCTTGTCTTCTGCTGAGAGTCCTGTATTACAGCAAAACAGATAATGGTGGTGTCCATTAATCTCACCACAAGCTTTATGCAGTGATGCTCTCCAACTTCTGTTACGCCGTAGCTCAGTTTTGAAAGGCTTTATTTGGTGTGTTTTCAAATTTTTGTTTGGACAGCTATTCCAGGTAGAACTTTTCTAACCCTTGATTTTGCATATTGCTACTGTGTCCCACAAGGATTATTTATAGTCACATTTCTGATGTCAGGCATAATAAACAATCCAAAAAGGCATTTCCTTCAATTTGACATACACAGGCATTGATATGAAGGTTTATATAGATACTGGGTGTTAACTTTCGTGGAAGAACTTCTCCAGGAAAATAGCATAACTGGGGTAAATTTTTAGTGGGAATTTTCTGCCTTTTGCAGAACCGTGGATTAATAACAGATATGTGAGTTTATTTGTTTGTATCAGTCACTAAAAATGAAAACTTCATTTTGTAGTTAAGAATTCCATAGAATAAGGAAATCAGAAAAAGGAGAAGTTCTCATAAGTATTCCTAAACCTCCTTCTCCCACCCTGTTTAGCCCCATGCACACTTTCTAAAGCATACTTTGAAAGCGACTGGTCGTTGACCAATGTGGCAGATGACAAAATATAAAAAAATGCAGCTTTTCTGAGAAATGTCACATATAACACAACTTCCTTTAGGTCTGATAGGACAAACATCATAAATCACTTCACATGCAGTAACTTTGTGAAAATGTAGTGAACAAGTTATGAGAGATCAATAACTTTACAGATGCCAAGTACCTGTTGTGGTTTATAGCTAGAACCAATTAATTTAATTTTGGAGAATTTGTATAGAAGAAGCCTTTTTACTGTAGTTTAGCTTATTTTGCCTAGGTAGCAACCTAGAGAAAGAAAGCCATAGCCATCAATCAGATATGAATTTAATACAAAAGAGTATTTCTTAGAGAATTCTTGAGATAGTTTCAGAATTTATGGCCCATGGGTTATTCATTTTAATCTACTATTTTGCATGTTTACATAGAAATAAGAGGTGTAACTTGATGTCAATTTTATGTGGTAGTTATAATGCATTTTATACTTAGATCTATAAGCACAGATGGTAAGCTAACTAATTTTTATCATCTTATTTTGTGTCAATATTGATTTCCTGAGAAAGAAACCATTGTTTTTCCAGAAACCAAGTAAAAAGGAAAAGACATTAAATTCTCATCCACAACCATTATCTATTGTCAGACAGAGACCCAACATATGGGTAAAGCCCCAAACCCCCTTACGTCAGTTTTACATCTATAGTTAGATTATTTCAAGGGTTTCAAGAAAGCAATACTTACATTGGCATAGAGATTGCACTGATCGTAATTTGAAGGCCGTTCTATAAATGGAATTCTCAATACTATTAAGAGCATCTGTAAAGAAAACATGAAATATGGATAAAGGGCCAACTCATTAGATAAAACCTACATCCTACAAAGGAATCAGAGAGATTATGTTGCTCAACTTATGTTGTGGGGGGAAGTCAAGGTTCAATGCTCTTTTTCTACCTGGCAACTGAAAGTTTCTTAGGGCTCCAGGGACCCTCTAAGTTTGCCAGACCAAGGAATCCTCCAGTGAGGAGTACGTCCCCGTGAAGCTGTCTACATTATATGTCTAAAAACAATGGCTTTATGGACCAAATAGGAAGAAAACTACACACGTGAATGCATCTAGTCGCATGTATACATACGTATTTTATATTCATATGAAAATGACTCAAGAGCTAATTCCTCATTTTGCAAACATTTATTGAGGTTTTAATATATTACCTTCTCATGAGTCCAGGCCCTTGAAATAAGGCAATTAGCGAATAAAAATTCTTACCCCTTGTGGCCCTCCCTGGTGGCGCAGCGGGTTAAAGCACAGCACTGAGAAGCTAAAGCCACTTCCACATGAGTTCGATTCCCGCCTGCCCCGGAGGTGACCACATGGCGAGGCAGACCTCTCCTGACCCGCCCGCTGCTCCCCTCAGCAGTGTACTTCCTCAATCTGCCTGTTCTGCTCCCCACTCTGTCTATGGTGAAGCCTCTCGCCACCCCTGAGCCTCTGGCCTGTACCCCAGTTCTGTATGCACAAATAAATAAATAATTAATTAAAAAAAAATTCTTACCCCTAGGAACTTAATTTCTCATGGCTTTCTCCACGTTGTTAAGAGTGGACATCTCTGAGTGCTTGAATTCTTAGTGCTTATAGTTATTTTCACTCTATGTGCAAATATTACCTAGTGTTTACATAAATAGCATGTGCTAGAATGAGCTAAGGACTATTTATATATCTTCTTGACATCCACCACCATCAGCACAACATTTCGGGCACTGAGCACATTTGCTCATTTCACAGTGTGGAGGAGAAGCTTTTATTCCTTCCTTTTCCTTTTTATTCCTTCCTTTTCCTTTGAGGAAATTAGTTGACTTTTTGATCTTCAGTTTATTCTTCAGATAAATAGGATTATAGTACATTCCTCTTAGAGCATTTACATGTTTTTTAAAAAATTATATTTAACTTCCACTGAAGACCCTCAATTTAAGTTTGTTTCACTGAGGGCCTCTCTGGTGGGGCAGTGGTGGGTAAGTCTCAGCACTATGAAGCTAACCGCAGCAACCGCAGCCCTGAGTTCCGCCGCAGGCAGGGAGCTGACCCACATGGCGCAGCAGACCTCTCTTCCCTCCCGCACTGCTCCCCTCAGCTCTGTATTTCAGTAGATCCTCCTGTTCTGCTCCCTACTCCATCTCTGATGAATCCTCTCACACCCACCCACCCAGCACCTCTAGCCTACACCCCAGTTCTTGTATGTATAATAATTAAAAATAAATCTTGAAAAATATATACTGGGGCCCTTCTTGGTGGGGCAACAGGTTAAAGAGCAGCACTGTGAAGTGAGTCGAAGCTGCTTCAGCATGAGAGTGCAATCTCAGGCCGGGAGTTGATCCACATGGCGCAGCAGACCTCTCCTGTCTCGCCCGCTGCTCCCCTCAGCAGTGTGTTTCAGTACATCTGCCTGTTCTGCTCCCCACTCTGCCTCTGGTGAAGCCTCTCAACCCCTACACCTCTGGCCTGTACCCCAGTTCTTGTAAGCATATATGAATGCATCTTAAAAAATTGTCTCATTGATATACAGTTTGATTTTCATTTAATTGAAGAGATATAAGACTAGCTCATAACATAGGTTTTTGATGCCTAGGACTGAAATAATGAGTCTTCATATGTAGAAAAAGCAAAACCAAAAGAACACCACTGACCAGTAAACAGATACTGTATTATCTAGCCTTAAAATTCTCAAAATTGAGGTTTATAGGTATCTCTTGAGTTTCTACTATGTGCAAGTCTTGCTTCTAGAAAATGTTATAGTTGTCATAAAAAAAAAGAAAACGAAGCTAGCTGTTCATTGATTCATTTGCCACACAAATACAATAACTGAGTATATCAAGTGTCAGCCACTATGTTGGTACTGAGGACACTAAGGTAAATCAGAAGTTCAGTGTCAAGGGAGAGATAAGATTCATAGTTCAATGTTCCATAAGAGAGTTAGAATATTTTTCAAAGGAGGTGACGTGAAAGCTGCCTCTTAAAAAGAAATAGGGAAATTTTCAGGGGATTAAAGTGAAATAAAGCTTTGAGGGAATGGTGCTACAGACCTAGGGAAGCACACGTGAAAGGCACAAAGGCCTGAGGGTGCAGAAGCCCAGTAAGGAAGGTGTAAGAGAATTATGGGGAAAGGCAGGGTTTGGTTGCTCTGAGTTCGTTAAGGATTTGCATTCTCTTGCAAGTGTCAAGGATCAATACACACTTTATAATGCTCACTCCAATGGGCTGTGGGTGAGAATAAATGCAATAATTTATTTCAGTGGCTCAGGTCCAGATGATAAGATTGATAATGATTCAGCTAAAAGGCAACTTAATGAACTTAAAAAAATAGAAAAGTTACAGAAGACTCTGTCCTATAATGTAATAAAACTAGAAAAAAAATCAATAAAAAGATAAACACATTTATCATTATGAAAACGTTTTTAAAATTCACCTAAAAGCCATGTGGTCAAAGTGGAAATTAAACCTTGTTTTGAGGCTAAAAGTGAGGGGGAAATTTCTGAATAGCTATGCTTAAGTTAACTAATTGGGTTATAAAACCAGGATGGCAGTATAGTTTAGAGATAAAATCTAGAACTGTTTTTTTACGGAAAAAACAAACAAACCCTTGGTAAGTTTAAGAGAAGAAGAAAGACAAAAAAGTAAGACATTAGAGATGAGAAAGGATTTATATTTACATGAGTATTATTTTATTTTAAAACAGAAAAACATATGTACATTTCTATGCCAGCAAATTTGGAAACTGGTATCCTAGAAAATGGAAATGATCAAAATATACCAAAATTTTTTTTTGAAAGACTAATACCCACAGAGGGCTCTTCAAAAAGGAAAACAGGTGTCAAAGATACACAGCCACCTGTAGAGTTAGCTTTGCAGGTGAATTCCTTTAAATCTTCAAGGAACAGGTGTATTCCTATCAATCAACTGGTCCCAAAATTAGAAAAATGCAGAATACTTCCAAATTTATTTTAGGAAGCTAGTATAACTCAACAACAAAATTTGATATTGCTATACTGCAATATCAAAGTCTTTTTAATTCTTTTTTTTAAAAAGATTTATTTATTTATTCATGCAGAACTGGGGTACAGGCCAGAGATGCAGAGGGTGAGAGAATTCACCAGGAACAGATTGGGGAGCAGAACAGGCAGATCGAGGAAATACACTGCTGAGGGGAGCAGCTGGCGGGCCAGGAGAGGTCTGCCTCGCCATGTGGTCACCTCCGGGGCAGGCGGGAATCAAACTCATTGAAGTGGCTGTGGCTAACTTCAAAGTGCTGCACTTTAGTCTGCTGCACCATCAGGGAGGGCCCCTCCGGGGCAGGCGGGGATCTAACTCATTCTGAAGTGGCTTAAGCTTCTTCCTGCAGTGCTTTAACCCGCTGCGCCACCAGGAAGGGCCCCAAAGTGTTATTCTTACAGACAGAAAAACAGTTGAGTTGAGACTTTGAGGAAAACTGGAATAATTGGCCAAGGAAAAGCCTTCTCTTTCTTTCTCTTAAGTTTCTCCCCTCTCTCTAGTATTTATGGAGAAGGTCCTAAAAACATGAACCAAAAAAACTATTCAGTTGATGTCATTGCTTCAAACCTTGGCAGAATAATTTATGGCAATATTAATGTCTTTCTTTTTCATGCAACAGTGGGAGAATTTGAAAAATGAAAAGGCTATTACCGAGTCCATTTCTTTGTGTGTTCCAAGGTCTCTTTTTATTGCTTTGGGAGATTTAACCCCTTCTTGTGTTTGAAGGGTCACCTTGAAGTCAAGTCCCAGTCAGGCCTTGGTTTAGAGGGTCCATCAAAAAATTAATGCTTCTCAGCTCCTGCCCCCTTCCCCCACATGGGAATGGAAGAATTGCAATCAATATTAGTTGAATTTTATGGATGGAGAGCAGGGGGATGTTGTTTATCAAAGCAAAATAGACACACTGACTGAGCATAGGAAAGGTGAGTGGATTGCTGGTGGAACAGAGAATAGGTTCCCTCTGCGAGGTGCTTTGTTATACTAGTTCCGACCTGGATTACACATTTCCCAAGCCTCAACATCTTCCTCATAGACCCATGCAGTGTCTGTCTCTTCCCTCTGAAAAACAGCTTTGAATTCAGTGTTACTTTAACCATTGTTTTCTATGAAGCAGGAGAGAAGATGATGTCTAGATTGGAAACTGGGAGCGGCTCTACTGGGGTTGGGGTTCAGGGGTCATGTGCAGGAAATGGCAGCATGGTATAAACAGGGAGACAAGCTACTGGCTTGGCAAGGAATTCTGTGTTCTGTCTTGACATGTCATCAAGGAGACCTCAAAGCCAAATACAGAGCCCTCAACAGTGACCATTGTGAGACTCCAGATCAGATGGTCAGAATCAAGATGTAGGAAGTTTCTGTCTACAGGGGATGGCTCCTTCCCAAACTTAAGTCAGTCTAAATTTGATACCAAATACACTAACTCAGAGTTGGGTTAAGAAAATAATGTCTCTTGCCTTTGAGTGTGTGTGGAAAAGTCTTGGCTACTACTGAGTATGAAGGGAATGAACTACTGAGAGGGTGACATGTTGGCCCCAGCCAGGCCCATCCTGGAGGAGTTCGAACACCACAGCCCCTTCCTGAACCCATATCAATTCAATGACCAAACTATGATCATGAGCTGAAAACACCACTTCAAGTGAAGTTGGGCCATGCCTGAAAACATCATTCAACAAGAGATCTTGTTTGAAAACCTTTAATACCTCTTTTTTATGAACAGGTACCCCCATATCAAGAATCTACAACTTGCCCTAAGTCTTTCACTTGATATTTCCTTATATTTAAAAAATGTTTTGTTTTGGGCCCTCCCTGGTGGTGCAATAGATTAAAAGCACAACATTATGAAGCTATCACAGCCACTGCAGCATGAGTTTGATCCTCCCACAGGGACATGACCCACATGGCATGGCAGATCTCTCCTGTCTTGCCCACTGCTCCTAGCAGTGAATTTCAGTAGATCTGCCTGTTCTGCTCCCCACTCTGTCTCTGGTGAATCCTCTTACCCCCTGCAACGCTGGCCTGTACCACAGTTCTGTATGCATAAATAAAATAAATCTTTAAAAACAAGTTCTGTTTCAAAACACGAATCCAAAGTTTGTGTGTGGAGGTCACCACTCTGCTCTATCTGGAGAAGAATATAAATTCAGAGTAGGCATAAAAGTCTGGAAATAATTTGCAAAAGTATAATGCCCAACTGTTTTTTTTTTTTTTCTGGAAAATGGCCAGATTTTGTGCTCTGGTTGGCCTCAGATGCACCAAATGAATGCAGAAAGTCAGCAAATTAGGGACTCTGCAGGTTCCCAGATGCTATTCTTGGTGGAAGAGTGATTCTGTAGCTACTCTACCATCTGGCCCATCACACTCCTGTCAAGTTATGTTTTGCAGCGTCATCTGATGAAGTTATGCAGCATAACATGGCAAGCTGTGATCGAGTACAATGTGGAAAATGAATGAGTACCCCAGGTGATCACCTTTAGCTCTGTTACCCCAGGCGGTGGCTGTTTCTCTTTTCTCTACCCCTGCTCGGAGGAGAAAACTCAAGAAAGGGAGAAATTGCTGCAGAATATTATCAAGTCCAAAGCAACAAACACTGTAATCTTAGATGCTTAAAGCAAACAAAATAAGTGATATATGATCGTGTTCAGGGAAGCAATCTGATAGGGAAACTGCTCTTGCTTCAAACAATAGGTGACATTTTCTGTGGGCACTAAGATGAATGTAATAGAATCTTTCAGCAATTCGTTATCTAGTTTAATAATAAAGTGTGGTTTCAAGTGAGAAGCATCCACCTTGCTTAGGAACATACTAGAAATGCATGTTCTCAAACCCCACCCTAGACTACTCAGTCACAGACTCCAGAGGTGAATCCAGTGATCAATCAGTCTCCAGGGATTCTGATTCTGATGTACATAAAATTGAAGAAATGCTGCTTTGGGAGGGAAAAGTGAGCTTTGAATGAATTATCTACTGCTCTTTGTTAAGCTTATTGAAATCAGGGCCCAGATCTGGGAAACCAAAAGATAATTTGAATCATTCATAATGTTGTTACAGATAAATAACTGGAGATGTTACAGGATTTTATCTAAAACAAGCAAAGTTAATAATCTAAATTTTAGCTAAGGGAGTAAGGCTGCTATGAGATCCTGCAATTAAAATATCACAGACGAGTCCTGGGAACCATGTTGATGCTGAGGGAGAAGGGAATTACTCTTCCCATAACCATTTATCAAATATTCATGCAGTGACAGCTGTGAGACTTTCTCCAATTTTGGACCTACATAGTACAGTGAACTTAGCCCTGACATTAAAATAGTTATAATGATCTTATTTTAATAGTAAACCATGAAGATCTTTAAAAATAAGCTAAGCCACTGTTTCTGGTTGTGTATTTAAATAGCAATTTAAAATGCAGTCACACAGAGACCAAGCCTAACAAATTATTTTTAGTGTTTTGGAGCCAATGGACCAAATATTCTTTAATAAATTATGAATTATCTTTGAGAAAAGACTTTTCAATCATGTGATAGTTTCTTTCATAGTCAGGAATTTGCCAAATGTCTACTCTTCTGCAACTCAGAAGTCTGAAAATGTAACATCTGTGCCTAATTTCTTTGTTTACAAGTTCTATGTTCAGAAACTTGACAATAATACTCATACTCACCTTGTTTATCTGGATCCATTTTGCAAACTCCTCAGATGGCAACTGAATCCCTGTAACTGGAAATGAACCACATTTTCAGCAGAAAATCTGGCAGCGTTGGGGGAAGAAAATAATAAGTAAAATAGTCATTCCATCTGAGGAACGAGGAAGGAACATCAAGTATTCAGAGAGACTCAAAAGTCTCATGGGAGGGTGGAAGAGGAACAGAGCAGAGTCTTCGAGTACTGTCCCACACGTCTAGGAATTTAAGGCTATCTCTGGAAACAGAGCACTCCTAAGGAACACCATTAATACTTTGCACTTTTACAACATCGTATGAGTTTTAGACTGGAGTCTCACCTCAAAAAACATTTACGTTTACTGAAATTTTAGAGGATAAAAATTGAAATTTTCAATGCTTATATTTCTATCATTATGCTAAAAAATTTTATATATTAAACTTCCAAAAAATACTATCCATTTGAACACCTTATCTTTTACCCTCACACACTTTCATTTCAGTTAATATTTAATTTTTTTTTAAGATTTATTTATTTGTTCATACAGAACTGGGGTACAGGCCAGAGGCTCAGGGGTGGCAAGAGGCTTCACCAGAGACAGAGTGGGGAGCAGAACAGGCAGATCTACGAAGTCCACTGGAGGGGAGCAGCAGGTTAAA